GGGGGGGGTGGTGTTGGGGGGTTGTTTGGTTTTGGGGTTTTGCAATGAACACTCCTTTAAACCTTGCTAAATAACATCCATAGAGCAATACAATTCCTGCTCCTGATGTGTTCTAAAACTAAATTATTAGTTTTTATGGCTTTTAGACCAGTGTTCCTCAAAAGTAGTTTTTGGATTTATTGTGTTTTATATTTAACTTGCCTCATTGGTATATGATTTCCACTATTAATACAAGGTCTTCTTCAGTCTAAGCTTCTGATACAGAGTCTCTGAAAATTGCCCGATTACCTGTGAGTACATCAGCCCGTCACATTTTTACCCTTCATTTCTTCTTAAAAAGTTTCCTCTTTTATTTAGATAATTTTGTCAAAATCAAACAGAATTCCAATTTTTTTTTGGCTTCTACAAAACCTTGAATTCAAGTGAGATAAAGTCACTGTTATACTTTTGAAAGTAATATTTTAAAGCAGGCCATACACATTACTGAGAGCAGCTGAAGATTTGACCTTCCAGCTCTGGGGTTTCTGACTACCTGTTCTGTGAAATCAGATACCTTGACTGATTTTAGAACTTTACTTACTCTTATTTGTCACTTGCCTAAATCTCTATGTGGATAACAGCAATCTGTCTATTAGTGCATTTCCCATTCATTCAGCCTCCAACCTCCTCCTTGTAAATAGCCCAGCTACAAGAGTGTGCTCCTTGTCCCTTAAGACTCAGTACCAAATTTTTCCTATTTATGGCCCAAAATTGAAATTATTAGGTTAATTCATCAAATTTCATAAAGCTTTCTTTAATATGTGATATCATTTGCCCACTGAGGTGACCTACTTTGCCTTTTCTATGCAATGCATTCTTCAAGACAACCGAATCTCACTGACTTTCTTCCTTTCTCCAAGTTTATAAGCCTATAATGTCAGTACCTTAACTTAAAGCCATTCATCTTATTTTTTAACTTGCAACTTTTGTTGAGAAAAGCATGTTCATATTTAATCTAGTTTCTTATTATTATGCAGCCTGCTCTTTTGTTGTTAATGTTTGAGTTTGCTTATTTTTTAATTCTGATCTCATCAGGAAACAGTTGCTAGATTATATGTTCCTCAAACCACACACTGTTTTTAAACCTACCAATGCAAGTAGCAAAATTTAGAGATAGCAATTGTTTCAGGTTGAGTATTCTGGCAGACAACATCACTTTTTATCTTCATACCAGCAGCAACTACAAGCTGTTTCCCCCTCCTTTTATAAGCAAGTTTTCAAAGGCAGGAGAGTAGCAATGTCTTCTTGCTTTTCTTCTATAGCAGCTTTCAAAAGAAAAAGCTGCCTGAATCAGACTGCTGCAGATAATAACTACAAATTTCGCAGATACATTTTACAAGTTTTTAAATAAAATAGCTCTCTTCTTTGTATAACCTGATCAACACATATTGCACAATTAAGCTGTCAAAAGTTATAAAAAAACTTGAGTACAAATATTATTCTGTTCTGCTCTTTGACAACTGCTAAATGATTTGTCTCTGCTTAGTAATTTAAGGTAACAAAATATATTATAAAACCAAGGTAAACTACAATTTTGCTACAGGCTAGCTTAGCTTTCAAGACATTGAAACAGCTAAAAAGAGCTCCCTATTTAAAGAGTTTGTGAACATTACCTGTTTATAAACTTGTCGCAAGTACATCATCTCCTCCACGGTTCCCAAGGATATCAATCTAAACACTTTAACATCTTTGTATTGGCCAATCCTATACGCTCTGCAAGGACAGTGGCATATTAAAAACCATATTTTTTATCAGTAAAAAAGAAAAAAAAAAGCCTCTTAGGGGCAGTAAAATAAATAAATTTAAATAGCATTCCTATAAAACAGGAGTACTCCAAATCATTTATGAGTTGGTTGGTTTTAGATTTGGTTGCCCTTCCCCCCACCCCAGCTTTTCCAAATTTTCCTCAGTATTTCATTCCCTTTTCCTTTACCCTTGGTTTTCCAAGTTTCTTCCCAGGCCTATCCAGCTGAAAAAGCTTTCTCTTTAATTTGTATCACAAGGCCTGTCTCCCATCTCTCTTGAAAACACATCTTCCACTACATTTTCTCAGTTCCACACCCCCACCCCCAGTCTCCATCTGCTCTTCCACAAGATATTCTCCTATTTGCCTTATATAGGAGTTAGATCATGGATTACTTGGGGCGTCTGTTCTTTCTTAACTTCATAAAGCACTTTGCAAGTTACAACATAATAAAAACAGCTATACAAACAGGCAGTGTTCTAAATGGCAAATCCTGAAACTTCTAATAGATTATATTCTGAAAATTCAAAAGAGGCTGAACGAATTTCTAGAAACATGGTCTTACAGGATTCTTTAAAGACAGTCTATTTCAACACTACACATTTCTGACACACACATTTCCCTAGAACAGGTACACATAAACACCTCTTAGAAGTCACAAAGACCCTTAAAATAGAATTACATAATTGGGTGGGACAACAGAAACAAGTGTACTTCTGCTCATGAAAATATATAAATCTACTGAATTTTGAAGGCTTCCAATATTCTTTACTTCAGCTATTCAAAAGTCTGTCCTGAATTCCTAAGGAAACGTCTTATGATCAAAAAGCCTTAAAAGAAAAATACAGATTCCTGGAAATCCTCCAATGGCATAATATCAGAGATGGAAGTGAGTACTGAAAAGACACTAATCTTCACAAGGGTGAAGCAGAAAAGAACATACATGTTTTTCTTTAAGGATTCTGGAATTCAAAACATCATTGAACTAGGGTCAATTAAAATGTACTCTGTCCTGACAAACACAGGAAAAATGCCATCCAGCTACACACACACAAAGTTACAGCAACTACGGTTTGGTTTCCGGTTTTGGTTTGTTTTTTGGTTTTTTTTTTTCCCTCCAAAGAGACCACCATCACAGTGCCACAAAAAATAAAATGGAAAATAAGAAGTAAAATTCGGGGTTAAGAACAAGAACATCAAAGCTAAAAAATAATCTAGCTGGACACCTCTTACTGTCTTGTGGACAAGTCAGAGTACGTAAAAAATTTCTTCCCTTATGAAAGTTTAGTTGAACAATTAGATTACAGGATGAAAGCAAAAAAAAAATTCCAACATGGATCAAGTTCTATATTTTGAGAGCGTACCTGTCAATAGCTTGAAGATCATTTGCTGGGTTCCATGTAGGATCAAACAGTATAACAACATTGGCCCCAACAAAATTAAGACCGAGTCCACCAGCCCTAAAAACATAAAAATGAAAAAACAGGACTACATGATAGTAAATCAGAACAATTTTTTTTTCCACTGTGTTATGTCCATATTAGCATATCCTTCCCCAACATAAAAAAAGAGCACAACAGAGATACTGAAAATAGTAGGGTACACCTTTGTGTTACTGTTGTGTTAGTAAGCACCAAGTACTGAAATAACCACTGCTGTAAAATGCAGTCATCTCACCTAAGTAGTAAGAATATTACAAGCTGTATGACTAGCTGAGTCATAACCACCTTACTATAGTAAAAGTCCTGACTGCTACCTCATATGCACTGAGCTCTACTCAGGCCAACTCCCCCTATGACTATACTGAAATTCATAACCACTTTTATGCCAGTTAACATTACAGAAGCAGGAAAACTATAGCTTAAATAAAAAGTCTGTACTAAATTTTGCTTCCTCTAATCCCCAGAATATAGCTTTGACAATAAAGCTATGCAGCTTCCACTAAAATGGTCATAGGGTAGGTCATATCTGTAAGAATTAACAACTGTCACAAGTGTATTTGTACAGTACAACTGTTAAAAATATAGTTGGCCACACAACTGCGTATCAGCAACATTCATTCCTGTCAATACAAAGAAAAAAAAAAGTTACTGTAAAGTCTACTGTGGGGGTAAGGAGTCACAGGGGTACCAGTTACATCATCTTAAAAATTCAACAGCTGTATTGTGCTTTTGGGTAAAGCCTGCAAGCCAGCAAAGAATTTGAGCATATGCTTCACCTGAGGTAGCTAACTAATGCCCTTGCTGAGTCTAACAAAACTACTCAGTTACTTGGAGTTTGGCGTGTGCACGCTGGATGATTTGACAGGAACCAAAAGTGAGGAAAATATGACTTCTCATCCAGCTGCAAAACAAGCAAATACTGAAAATTCTTTTCAGCTGGCTCAGTCAACATTCCTACAAAAAGACAAGTATTTGGCACACGCCAAATACTGTTATTAACTATTAAAACAATTCTTTACATTGACACAGACAGCACTAATTTCAAGTATGTTTTTCTCTGAATGAGGTACCACAAAATTGAAAAAGTCAATTCCATTTAATTTACCAGACACCTGGTTTTAATAGATTACTTTATATTCTGCTTGTTTAAAGTACTGGGGAAGGTAACATTTCCAGGGAGGTGAATAAATGGAGACAGAAACCAAAAGCTTATGGAGCCCCACCACCTTTTGGTTTTCATGGAATCCTTGTTAATATAAATACAGTTGTGACCTCTTCCTTCCAGGTGCGGTGTGGTGCTGGGTTAGTTAAATCTGGAGAGGATGTGGGAACCTGCCAAAATTAACGGAGGTTTCCAGAGGATGAGCGCTCTCGAAGTTTGAAATGCTGAAGTCTTTGTATTTTTCAGAATACCTTACTGTATTTTGGAATTTTGGTGTATTTCTTTTTAGTGAGGACAGAATTCAGCCTTTCATCTTACCAAACCAACCCTGAAGACAGACTGAAACATAAGTCAACATGTTTTTCCAAATGCTTTCTCATAAAAAATTGCAGTATTTGGAACTGAAATATGAATTAAACCTCAGAGCAAAGCCTTAGTGTCAGTAGAACAGACTATGAAAATTAACTACACAGGAAACTTCGCTTTATAAAAACTTTACCTTTCAATATTTTTAGGTATACCACAAAAATTCAGATACACCAAAACAGAGAAAGAATGGCTCCTATATCCTTCATTGACAGAACAAATACAGCAGTTGGTTTGTGCACTCTAAAGAGTAGCTTCCATTTTAAATATCATTTCAACCAGAGGTTAAAGTCATTATTGCAAGATGGTCCAAGCAAATTACTATCATACAGCTCAAATGAAGAGCCCTGTATGAAATATCTCATAATATTACAAACAACAGTTTTCAAAAGATAATCTTATCTAAAACTGCACAGTGTTAAATGAGTGGCTGGTGTTTACATCCTGTCACCGACAACTTAATACTACAAGTTCAGAAGTTACAAAACAATACCGAAAACAGGAAAGTTTCCATGAAAGCTGTGACTACCTAATTTTATTTACTAATATAAAGTTTTTTTGTAGAGTTTGTAAGTTCCATTTCAGTTAGATCTTGTGGCTGAAAGTTCTGAGTGTGATTACATGCACATTAAAAATTATTTACAACATAGTTGTGAAGAATACAAGTTAAAGAAAGCCCTGAAAAAGTACCCTGTAACGGACAGCAATTGCGAACGCTCCAGGTAATGGAAGTATAGTAGTGCATACAGCAGTAACCTTTCATGACAAAAAAGCTATCATCTAAGCACTTCTCTGTACATAATAAAGAAAACTGAGAAGCAGAAATAGATACTAACTTATAATTATTCTTAAGGAATTAATCTAGAGAAAGACTAGCATGGAAAACCCAGAGAATAGTGATTTACCTTCAAGGTAGGAACATTTGCTGCTCTTATTTCTTCCAGAATACTGCAATGCAACAGGACTGCATAGATTTCAGTATTGTATACATGCAGCTACCCTTCTTCAGGCTAAGCAGCGCCAAAGGAGTTGCAAGCTCTGACATTCTCCTATCAAGTCGTAGCAATTCCAGCAATTATTTCAATGTTTCTAAGCATGACCAAAAATCCCCTTCTGTTCTTCCAAATAATCATACATTTTCCCAGCTACACCAGCACAGGGCTGAAGTATTCTGAAATAGACTTTACTTCGTAAGGCTTAGATGTTCCCACATACACCTATTTCTCCATAAAGCTCAAGGCTGAAATTCATAATCTACAGTTACTAGTTTGATGGCATTTACAAGCTCTGAAGAAATTAATCATATTTTCTCTCAACACCCATAAAAAGACTAGCATAAAAGCATATCCATAAACACATTATGGACAGCTATACGACTATGCTTGATACTAGCATTAACTGTAAGACTTGATGTTAAGCTATACAGATAGACAGATTTTTTTTTTTTTTACTTCATTATTTAAGGCCCTATTTCTCAAGCTCACCAACCAATTAAAATGAGGATTTCCAAATGTCTATGGGCTATAGATAGGTAATTCCAGGCAGAAACAGCATTTTTCCAGTATTAAAAAAAAAAGGCGGGGGAGGGGGGAAGGAAAATGAAACAGGAACATTGTAAATTTAACAGTGAAGTCATCATCATTGACTGTGCTGTAACTCACTAATTTATAGAATGAAGCTTCCCATTTAAAGTTGTATGTTCACTGTGTCAGTGGACTATACTTGCAGACTCAATATCACTATGTGGGGAATTCATCCTTTGCAGAATGCATTTTTGCAGCCAAAAGACCTTGCAAGTATTTTCAGTGAAAATCAACATTTGGCTCTTCGAGCAATGGGACTTTCAGAACACATAGAAGTTGATTACAGAGAACAGTCAGCCAAAAACTTTGCAAGAAAGTATGGACAGATGAGTATGACCGAATTCTGTCAACTTACAATGTGTTGAGAAATAAAGAATATACTGTGAAGCCCTAATGCATGAAGTCTGAGCAAGAGGAAGGATGGATCTCTTGTAGAGTAGAACTGGGATAAATCACTTTGACTTCCAAAGGATTACAAACTTAAAGCTGCTTCCATTACTCTGTATTAAGCAAGCAAAAATATAACATTTTGTACAAACTACACAGAGAACTGCACTTCTGTTTTTCTTAGTAAACACTGGTTATATTCACTGCAATTCCATCACTGTTTGTTCCTTCTGTTTACTCAGTAAGATGAAACACTAAGAACAACAGAATCAAGACTCTCAGCTCAAGCAGTACCAGCAGGCTTGGAAAGCTCACCAATCTCTGTATTCATAAGCTCTAACAGCAGAAAGGAGAACGTTCATGTCTGTTTACCTGACCACTTTTATTTCTAGGTAAATTAATGGAAGAGAACTGAACAGGTTGCAGTTATGCAAATAAACTAGACTGACAGAAGCACAAACTAGAGAGTCTTTCCTAATGCTACAGATGCGGCAATTTCCCACTGTCTCCAGGGACGAAGAATACGGACCCATGAAGGTCTTAGGGTAGCCGATGGCCAGGTTCCACAGGTGACAGATTACAAACAAATGTGCATGACCAACATAACAAATCTCTTCACAACCCTGCCCACATGCACCAGAGAGTATCTGAAGACAGTTCTGACATGCACTTGTAACAGTCTTTAAGATTACGTCTGACTTCTAATTAAACAGGGGTAGTGTGGATCCTGCTATGTAACTGCAATATGCACACTTTTAGTAAAGAATCAAAGTGACCATATAGGCAAGAACAGCAGATTTTCACGTTTCATTGAGTTTCACTGAATTTTCCTCTGGGTACGAAGATTAAAGTTTCTCTTTGTTTGCTTTCTGCCCTTGCCTGTTAGCTAACTTCATCCAAGATGAAACATGGAAGTAATCAGAATTAAAAAAAAAAAAAAAAAAAAAAAAAGAAAATACGGGAAGAGAACGATCTTCATGTTTTCATTAATTATAGTTGAAGATACTGCTCTATTTCAAAAGAATTCACTATCCATCATAAACTGATAAGCAGATATGATAGGCAAATGCATTTTTAAAAGACAAATCCTTCAATCATTCCTTGATTAAAACAGATATACATGAATTAACGTGGTTAACATATTACAGTAACACCAAGAGATAATTTTTCAGTTCAATATAGCATTCCATGTTTTATCACTCCTACAGCAAGTGGAAATTTAAAACTAGGGTTTAAAACTAGCAGACCCACTTGTTTCAGATCTTGGTAATCCTCATAAAGTAGATGAGAGGGGAAGGGATATTTTAAGAAGCTCCAGGCCACAGCAGTGGGTGTATGTTTACTAATAGACAAGAGAATAACTCACTTTCTCAAAAAAGTAATCCCTCATAAGGTCATCAAGTAACATGCAGAGTAACCTATTTACTAAACACTAGAAAGGCAGAGTGAAACAGACTACAAGTTAAATTTTCTTACATTGTAGATACAAGACAGATGTTAATTTCTTGACTGCTGTTGAACTCTCTTACAATTCTGATCCTATCTTCTGATTTTGTATTTCCATCAAGTCTTCGGTAGTCTAGCCCAGATGCCATACAGTATTGTTCCAGCACATCTAGCAACTGGGTGGAAAAAAAAAAAAAAAAATTAGGTGCTTACTATTAACTTTTTAATTAAACATAATCACAGAGGACACGTTTCTCAAATATATTTTCAATAGACCAAGCACTGAAAATAAAATCTTCCCCATTTTGATAGCAACTTGCTTAACACTCCTTAGCTGGCACTTTACAGCACCCAAGGGGATTAACATTGGTCTGCTGTGGTCTCAATCCTCCAACCCTGGCTGCCTGTCCCACCTCTACATGATGTCGCATCAGTTCAACCCAATAAGCAGGCAAGCAACTTAAACAATTTCCCACCATTTTAACAAGTTACAATGACTGAAGTATGATACATGAGCACCAGAGCCAGCACAGAGAAATAGGCTGGTATGTATAGTATTGCAGACTTAAGAGACTGCAGTAACTAGTAGTCAGTCTGGTCCTGAACACACCAAAGCACAGCCTAAGACAAATGAGCATTTTACTTCTACAGCTAAATATTAAATTTGAGTCTGCCTTAAAGCCACAAAATTACTAAATATTTAAGACTCTAAACCATCATTCACACTATTATTTTTTAATACTTCTAATGCTATGATTACAAATATTTAACTAAAGAAAACCATATTACAGTTTGCGCCATTTCAGGAAACATGTTACTCCCCAACAAGAAAATCAAGGAGCAAGTCCCTTAAAAGTGAAGTGCGTGTACACATCTTGCTCCGAGTAAGCACCGTTTTCAGTTCAAACCAACTGGTGTAGTAAGTCTCTAGGTTGAATTTTCATCACTGGCGATGGACAAAAGCCAGTAGAACAGAAGAAATTTAACTACTTTCAGCGCTCACACAAAGGTTGTATGATACACTTCAGTCATATCTTGCCATGATACTACTGTAGCACAAGACATAACAGCTGAACTCAGTATGAGCTATCTACACATGAAATTAACACAACAATTTTAAAAAGCTCTAAGGAAGGCAGCAGAGTGTTACATCTGTTTTGCCATCACCATTTTTATCATGAGATAACATAAGGTTTCAACATACTTCTGCAGTATGGCACACTGTCCTCATCATTATTTCCCATGGTACAGGGAGAAAAGAAATGTGTTTGGTAGCTGTCACCTCAGTGCTTTAGGCTTCAGAACCTACTGCTGCAGTTAATTGATAAAAATCATACAGAGCTCACCTTTGTGGAAAAGGAGAAAAGAAGAAGTTTATCCTTGTTTTTTCTGAAGTGATTTAAAAGCTGTTGAAGGACCTGTAATCGAACCACAGAATACAAATGAAGAGATTTTATCTACAGGTCATCTCACACACACTTCCTTGTGCATTCAGCCTTTAGACAGGCTACACTGCAATTGTGTGCAAAGCCAAAGCAGAGGCATAACAAAAAAGGTTACTACCATAAAAAATGTGCCAAAAGTAGTGGAGATGCTGGAACTATGCATTATTCTTCAGTGATCTACACAGAAATCCTGGTATAAAAAGGCCATCATACTACTAACAGGTAAATTCAGAAGCTATTTGTGTCAGTGCATAGACTGCAACAAAATGCACTTATCTCATGTGCTAGTTCAGCTTGTGAGTTTTTGTATTTAGCAAATGCACACAATTCCCCTGAAAACAGGATAGTCTGTTTAAGTTTTCTGTACTACATCTCAGTTCAGAACTTCTTGGAACTTGTCTTCTTAAAATAATCAGTGAGATGTATGTCCCTCCCCGCTCCCACTCTTGACTGTTGCTCTGTTTACAGTAGGATCCAGCTTCCCAGACTGCACAGGCCTTGAAATGCCAATAATCCACCCACACACAATGTTCTTCTGGTGGGGAAGCAAATAATCCAGAGCCTTGTGTATAATAGCGATACTGTTATTTTCAAAAGAAGCATGTCCACATCTGGCAATGGCAGCTCCAGAGTACCGCGCAGAAGCAATACACAAAGGGGAAAGAGGAATTTTTTGCAACATGTCTGTAGCTTTCTCCCACTGGGCAATAAATATTTAAAAATTATATTTATTCAGTGATAAATACAGAAACTGTTAATCGACACCAATTTCACTAAAAGCCTAACACAACTTTGGCAATCAAATAATAAGGAATGTTTGTATTAAAATTACAGTTCTGGATAATATCTAGAATATAAAATAGTAATTCTACATCACTTGTAAACCCTTTTGTATATATTAGCCAGTCAGTTACAAGTGAAAACAAGGTACAAACAAGGTAAATTTTGCCTGGTTTCATTGTACAACAACATATAAACCAGGATTTATTTTATTGGGGAAAAAATCCACATCAGGTAATTTAACAAGAGCTAAATGACTTACATTTGCATTTTATTTAGCCACATTAAGAAACAGAAGAAAAACAGTTACATGATTTTTAAGTAGAAGGAATTTGTCTACTGTATTATTGTTGTTATTATTAAAGTATAGGTCAAATAATGAACTTCCTATAGGAGAACACACAAATAAATCCACCCCGTCTGTTTAAATAAAATGGATCAATGTCATGCCTATTTGTATTTTAGGTATTCTGGAGTAAAGAACAGCTCTGACGAACAGGGGAAAGTAATGAAGGTTTTGCACTAAAGAGAAATAAATTCTATGCTTGCACACCACAGTATCGTCCTGAAAGTTGTTAGTCTGAAAAATACTTGATCATACTCAAGTAAGAGTAGCATGCTCTTTGTAAAAGTCCACATGTTTTTTTAATTAATATCTCCCCATTACTACGTAAGTTGTTCGACTGTAATGAAATTTTACCTCACACATCTGAGAATACCATGTTTGTATACAAATGTCCAAGCTAGCCTGGAGTGTTTTTCATCCTTCAAAATGATGTCTGCCTGGGTTATGTCTAACCTTGCAAATTATTATTATTTGCAATGTGCTCCGATAGACTTCTATATTTTCCTACTGAAATACTGATAATATTCCAGGAAGAATAAATAAATATATCCAATATAATTATTCCTAAAAAATTTATATTAAGAACAGTATTCCAAAACTCCACAAATGGATGTCTGTGGAAATGTACCTGTAGTTTAAAAAAAGATATTTCAAATGCCGAGACATTTAATAGCCCTTTTCACTCAAAGCATAGAATGCCTGAGCCAGAATTTTAATGAAACTGTAGACATAATTAAAGTAGTAATGAGAATTATTGTAGGCTTTTAAAACGACCCTCTTTTTTCTTACTTTTCCAAGCACCCCCCGATACTTCTGTGAGAACAATCTCCAACCTTTGCATGTAAAAAGCAATGGAATCACTTGTCCTTACACTTTGCAGGTCCCCACTTTCTTACTTCATGATGGGAAAAGGGTGGTTTCCAAACAAGATAGCGCACTCCTTTCACTTCAGTTCTCACATATTCAAGTTAAAAATCTAGGCATGAAACTCACATTGCAATAGAAAGTATAACCAAAGTCTTCTGAGAACTCTGTGTTCTGCAGTATGATTGAAAATGAAGACATAATTCCACAAATTAGCTGAAGTTCAGATCACACTCCCACTATAACAAAGCCTCCCATGACGTACACTGCACTTTTTTTTTTTACAATTGGAAATTCTCCATACTAAGGCTCTTCTCAAGAATATGTGCTGCTTATTTAGGATTTTAGTTTTGGTTTTTGGGGGGTTGTGGCGTTTTTGTCTGGTTTTGGGTTTTCTTCTGCAATTACAGAAAGAACCAACAGGAATAATCACCATGCTAGTAGCTCATTATTTTAATCACATATTCCTCATTTCATTCTACTTGGGGGTTAGACTAGATGACCTTTAGATGTCCCTTCTAACTCCCAACTATTCTATGATTCTTGTGTTTGGGCAATTTACCCAGAAAAGTAAACTGGCCTGACACTTGTCTACTTGTAGCTCAGAGGTTCATTTTTCTAACCATGTGGATCTCTTAATGTCAAAAGTAAACATTCAACCTGCCTGACATCTCATCAGTATCAAGCAATTGGCACAAGCTATACTCAAAGAGATCATAGCCTCTGCTCTCTTGCCACCTTGGTTACATTCTTACTCTGGCACTACAATATAGCAGACTCTTCTTCCTTACCACCCAAGGACACTGCACACAAGCACCAGAAGAGCCTTACTGCCACCAGCCAAGGTTACACCCAAGCCACACATCCACAGCCAGATGCACCCCTCAGAACACGCTGCAGCCTATGCTGTCCCAGAAGCAATTCAGACTTAAGGTCATGATTTGGAATAGAATCCTCCCAACAGGCAGCTCTGTAAGCTGCAGACTTTAAAGGCACATTATGTTGGAACCTCTGCCTTAACTCAGGCAGTTTTGCTTGCCTGTGTTGTTCACTACTGCGTCAAAAAACACGTAACGAAAATGTCATAAGGCAGTGCTGGAGTGATGTACGCAATAGCCCTAAGAGAAAGCAAGTTAGTTTTAACCAATAAAAGACCTTCATAAGCACCTCTGAACATCATGGTCTTAGTTTTTACAGGTATGTATTAAATAATTGCTGGTAGCTGACTTAACAATAGAGTTTACTTTCATGACATAACTAAGTGTAATATAGAGTCATAGAATGTTTTGGGTTGGAAGGGACCCTTAGAGGTCATCTAGTCCAACTCCTCTGCAGTTAACAGGGACACCACTAACTAGATCAGGCTGCTCAGAGCCCCGTCCAACCTGGTCTTGAATGTTTCCAGGAACGGGGCAGACACTGCCTCTCTGGGAAATCTGTTCCAGTGTTTCACCACCCTCATTGTAAAGAATTTCTTCCTTATATCCAGTCTAAACCTACCCTGTTTCAGTTTGAAACCATTACCCCTTGTCTTGTCACAGCTGGCCCTACTAAAAAGATTTTCCCCAGCTTTCCTATAGGCCCCCTCTAAGTACTGAAAGGCCACAATCAGGTGTCCCCGCAGCCTTCTCTTCTCCAGCCTGAACAAGCCCAACTCTCTCAGCCTGTCCTCATAAGAGAGGTGCTCCAGCCCTCGGATCATTTTAGTAGCCCTCCTCTGGACCCGCTCCAACAGGTCCAT